ACTGCAGCGCCATCTGAAGCAAAGAGCATACTTCCTGCGGACACTTTTTTGGCTGTGGCCCATCTTGTTATTTACTATCTTTGCTGTGACCAAACATTGAGATCACTCAGATAATAAAGGATGCATAATGACTGGAAAGACAGTGAAACACTCATATATAATTTTTTTTAAAACAACCCAAACGTGTCAGGTTTCGAACCCGGGACCTATTGAATATGGGATTTCAGTCTCTTGACAGTGAGCTTAGCTTCACATAATAGAGAACTAAAGAGAATGTCCAAATTGGAAATGTTTGCTCGTCAAAGCAGACGACACATCTTTGCTTTGACGAGCAAACATTTCCACTTTTAAACTACCTCAACTCAATGATACAAATATTCTGTCACGACGTGGTGGGATCAGGCGCTCGTCAATTTTTGGACATGTAGAACGTTTTTGATATCTGAAAGCTGATTTATTTGTCTTGCTTTCAATTTTTAAAAATTTACATTTAGCTCGAATAGAAGTCGAGATATTTGCCATTGAAGAAAGTGGGGTATCCTGGTTTTTCAGTGCTTAAATGGATGAGAAAATGGCCAACAAAATTTGGTAACTTCAATAGCTTAAGCATCCTTGAAAACTGAAAATTACATATTTTGTGCCTTTAAACAAGGCTTTTCAGTAAAATTCACATGGAAATGTCTTTTCATTTGAACATAAAAGGTGTTTAGCCAAAATATAAAATTTCAATAAAAATTGCCAAACTGGTCAGAAAATGCCTTTTTCTTCGATTTCATTATTTTGACGAGCGCCTGATTTCACCACACATATATGGGGCTCTCGTGGCCCAGAGGTTAAGAATGGTGTTCACCTCTCATTCAATAGATCCTGGGTTCGAATCCGGATAGCGACGGAAAATTGTTCTCCTTTCACGTCCTTTCCTGCTCCCTAACAATGTTCTGTCGTCTGCTTTCGTCCAGACTACCTTCTAACCCCACCCCCGCACCTCCTCTGGCCCCTCCTCTGGGCTCCTGACACTTTCTGCAGCTCCTTCTTACTGCTGTCTTTCAGCCACACCCCAGATCTTACGATAGGTAAGATCTACACCTAGCCTTCTCGGACAAGAGCGAAAAATCTCGGAGGTCAGCAATGGTTTTCTTTGCATTTCTTCCTCCCTGTTTCCTCCAAGTAAAAGTTCACTTGTTATGGTTTAAGTAGGGGGTTATTGTGTCAGCAAATGTGAGGCAGCGTGGTGGAATCAGGCTCTCGTCAAAATATATCAAAGTGAAGAAACCCCGCATTTTTCCACAGGTTTGTGA